GACTGAGTGGAATACGATCCAGCTGATTTTAAAAAATATTTTAATTTTAGTTTTTAAACTGCTCCTTGCAGAGCAGGGCTAACTCATAGGCAGTATGCCCAGAGTAGCCGATTTTTCTTATCGTGTAGTTTTATTAGGTGCTGTTTTTATGGCTAGCTATACGGGATTAGAATTTCTATGTGGTTTACAAAAAGCAGACAATTGTATTATTGGTATTTGTAGTATCTTCCATACCATAGGCACAGTTTTGAAACACTGTGTGTAGAATCCATTATTCACGAATGCAACCAAATATAAACCGCCCCTTTCCAGGTACACCAATCAGACGTAGATGTGGTCTTTTCACATAGTCCAGATGTGGTCTTTTCACATAGTCCCATATTTCTTGGAGGCTTTGTTTACTTCTTTTTACACTTTTTTCTCTAAACTTCTCTTCTCGCTTCATTTCATTCATTTGATCTTCAATCACTGATACCCTTGATCGGTGTTGATCGAATCGGCTACTGAAGCTTGTGCATGTGTCATGTAGTTCTCGTGCCATGATTTCCAGCTCCATCAGGTCATTTAAGAGGTCGTCTCTACGCTGTTTATTCTAGTTAGCCATTCGTCCAATCTTTTTTCAAGGTTTTTAGCTTCTTTGTGATGGGTTCGAACATCCTCCTTTAGCTTGGATTAAAGACTTAAATGTCAGACCTAAAACCATAAAAACCCTAGAAGAAAACCTAGGCAATACCATTCAGGACATAGGCATGGACAAGGACTTCATGTCTAAAACACCAAAAGCAACGGCAACAAAAGCCAAAATTGACAAATGGGATCTAATTAAACTAAAGAGCTTCTGTACAGCAAAAGAAACTATCATCAGAGTGAACAGGCAACCTACAGAATAGAAGAAAATTTTTGCAATCTACTCATCTGACAAAGGGCTAATATCCAGAATCTACAAAGAACTTAAACAAATTTACAGGAAAAAAGCAAACGACCCCATCACAAAGTGGGCAAAGGATATGAACAGACACTTCTCAAAAGAAGACATTCATGCAGCCAACAGACACGTGAAAAAAATGTTCATCATCTCTGGCCATCAGAGAAATGCAAATGAAAACCACAATGAGATGCCATCTCACACCAGTTAGAATGGCGATCATTAAAAAGTCAGGAAACAACAGGTGCTGGAGAGGATGTGGAGAAATAGGAACACTTTTACACTGTTGGTGGGACTGTAAACTAGTTCAACCATTGTGGAAGACAGTGTGGTGATTCCTCAAGGATCTAGAACTAGAAATACCATTTGGCCTACCCATCCCATTACTGGGTATATACCCAAAGGATTATAAATCATATTGCTATAAAGACACATGACACGTATGTTTATTGCAGCACTATTCACAATAGTAAAGACTTGGAACCAACCCAGATGTCCATCAATGATAGACTGGATTAAGAAAATATGGCACACATACACCATGGAATACTATGCAGCCATAAAAAAAGGATGAGTTCATGTCCTTTGTAGGGACACAGATGAAGCTGGAAACCATCATTCTGAGCAAACTAGCGCATGGACAGAAAACCAAACACCGCATGTTCTCACGCATAGGTGGGAATTGAACAATGAGAATACTTGGGCACAGGGTGGGGAACACCACACACCGGGGCCTGTCGTGGGGTGGGAGAATGGGGGAGGGATAGCATTAGGAGATATACCTAATGTAAATGACGAGTTAATGGGTGCAGCACACCAACATGGCACATGTATATATATGTAATAGACCTGCACGTTGTGCACATGTACCCTAGAACTTAAACAAACAAAAAATGCCCTTGGAGAAGGGGGTCCCCGCCTGGACGTAAACTGCAGTGAATGATGGTGTGTACAATGTTTTCAAGTGAAATCCTCATCTGTTTGTTTGGATTGTATTTGGAATTTAGACAGCTGCTTGCAGATCTAGGGTCAAACTGTTAGACAACACAGGAGAAAGAATATACTCCCATTTTTTTTTAAAGCCACATGGAATTCAAAACTGCCCTAAAATTTTGGGGAACAGCTCAAATATTAAGAGTAAAAAGAGGCCGGGCGTGGTAGCTCACGCCTGTAATCCCAGCACTTTCAGAGGCTGAGGCAGGCGGATCACAAGGTCAGGAGATCGAGACCATTTGGCTAACACAGTGAAACCCCATCTCTACTAAAAATACAAAAAATTAGCTGGGCATGGTGGCGGGCGCCTGTAGTCCCAGCTACTCAGGAGGCTGAGGCAGGAGAATGGTGTGAACCTGGGAGGCAGAGCTTGCAGTGAGCTGAGATTGTGCCACTGCACTCCACCCTGGGCAACAGGCAACAGACTCCGTCTCAAAAAAAGAAAAAACAAAAAAGAAGTAGAAAGAACAAATGCCTTGAGACAGGGAGCTCTGTCAAAGTCCTTTTGTGAACAAACTGCTCTTTTTCATGGTTGTGGGGCCTGAGTTCCAATCCTGAGTCTGTCACAGAAGATGTGGCTTATTGCAAAGCTACTTAACCCCCCTGGGCTGCAGTTTCCCCAGGTATAAAATGACGCAGTGGTATGAGATTATTAGATGAGCTTTATGGTCTCTTTCATGGTCTATGAGAAAATCAGGTGGGGTCTCAAATGCATTATGCATTTGAAACAGCTATAGAAAAGGGGATATATGAACATCAGTAAGCCAGGCAATGAGAGACACTGGTAAGCTCTACTGTTCATTCATCAACGTCCTTCATCTCGGTCCCTCCCCCTAGCTGGCTTTAGGGAGCAGTAGCCTATGCAGGTATAGCCGCAATCATTCTCCGGGGAGGACCTGGATTTGTGCATTTCATGGCTATCATTTTTTCCTTTTTCCATAGTTTCTGTTGGAAAGGCTTTTGTTTCAAAGGATACCCTGGCACAGAGATTTGAGAATTATTTTTCTCGGAAGAGTACTTAAACCTTACTGCTAAGTCTAAGGGTGTTCACTCCTGAGGATCTGGAAGTCAGCAAGACTGCTGATTCACCATTAGTGGAGAAAAAGATAAAAAGCTTGGGGCCTTGAGGCTCAGGAACCTCCATTGTTGCATTGATTACACACCTAAGGACTGGCAGTCCTCAAGACCCCTGGTTGTTATTATCAGGAAATAAGACTTTTGTGCCCAGAGATCATAATGTCAACAATAAGAGCTCTATTGTCAGGTGCTGTACTAGGTTCTTTATATTGCATTATCTCAGACAAAGATCCTATGAAGTTAGGTACTTCAGCCCTCATTTTATAGATGAGGATACTGAGGCTCAGATTTTTTTTTCTATTCCTGCTGCGTAAATTAAGAGACTCGTATATTTTTAAAAACCATGTGATACTGTGTCACAGAGCCACAACTGAACCCTAGTTCTCCCTAGATCCCTACAGAAGAATAACAGTTGTCAAAAATAAATCTTTAAAAAGCCCTACCATTCTGGATGATGCACACCCAGCCAATCGTGTGTGTGTGTGTGTGTGTGTGAGAAATTTCTGCTTCATTCCAACAAGATTGATGGTGCCTTAATCAGATGGCACAAGAGCAGAGGCCAGAGGCTTCAGTGAAGCAGCATGAATCTGAGTCAAGTTTCCTGCCTAGGGGGAGGCCACATTGCTAAAGAGAGCCAGTGACATCCAGGGAGTTTCAGGAAATTCACCAGACAATGAAAGTGGAAAGGACAGTGTTTAGAAGTGCTTCACTCTTCCAAAATGCAAGCACAGTGGGGAAAAGTTATTAAACCTGAATGGAGGATGGGATAGGAGAAGTAAGTCATTCTTTTACAAGTTCATTGTTTGTGGATGAAATAAGCTTACATTTTGTTGTGGGTTTTCCTTCCCTTATTAAGAACAGAACCCGGGTTCCTTGGGAACCTTAGGGATCAACCTCTACCTCTACCATGTTTAAGTCTTTGGTGATTTCATCAGTGACTGTGAATAGACAGTGGACTCTCCTTGTTTAATGCTTATAGTTTCTAAAACCAGCTTTTTTTGGGATCTGCTGGGGATCAATGGAAGGAGTTGGTTTAGCAGCACTTTCTAAACCACCCGGATTTGGAGGTGGCTCTCATACTTGGGATCATGCCCTTTGGAGGATCTTTTTCTTTGGCTTCTCCAGATGGAAGATGTTCTTTAAGGGATGGTGTATCTTTGGAATATGAAGTTGAATGACCAACCCAGAAGTTGAAGGTGGAGTCGTTTAGTCAGGTAGACAGGTAGTAAAGCTGGAGTCTGGTGGTATGAGTCAGAGTAGCAAGTGACAGGCCCTCTGTCATTACTGGATGCAAGCCCTGGAATAGTACATCTAAGACATGTTCTACAACATGTCAAGGCATTCCCTTCCCACCAGGAGACCAACGACTCACTCGGCCACAGCCTACAGCAGTCATCCTCAGCCAGTGCTGAGATGCATAAGATGGTGCTGGGTGATGACTGTCTCTACTACATTATTCCCCAAACCAGCAATCGATGGTTCATTTTAAATAGAGGTGGAATATCATAGACATCAGGACCATGGGCTCTGCCTTTCCTGGCTGTCTGGCCCATGGCAGGAGGGTACCTACTTTCTTCATGCCTGTGTTTCCTCTATGGTAAGGCAGAGATGATAACAGAACCTAAATGAATTCATACACACGAAGCACAGTGCCTGGTACCTAGAAAGAGCTCAACCAATGTCAGCTATGATTATTGTCCCCATTGTGTATTTACATAGAGAAGTTCGAGAATCTTTAGATAAATTTATGTTAAAATGTCATTTATAAGTATTAACTCCAATTTTTTTTTTTTTTTAAGCAACAGTGGAAGTTCATAGAAGTTAAGTTAAAAAATGGAATCAAGATTTTATGAACTTCTCGTTCAGTTCCCTTTTCACTATATCAAACATCTCAGTTACAATTAGGATATATTCAGCATGATCCCTTGTGGATAATCAAGTATGACTTCCCATTTTTTGGTAATTAAGAAATGATTAGGTGTTTCCTGTGTTCAGAGTGTCTTACCTTTGGAAGCCTGTATTTTTCTCTGAGATGGACTCTGAGGCATGCCCTCTCAGCCTTTTTCTGTGTAAATGCAGCATCTCTTTCCATCCTAAAAGTTAAAGAATAAAGGATCAGAAGGATACAGACAGCTGAAGACATTCCCGCCCGTGCTCAGAGGAGCCAGATATTGGGTTACACCTTCTGAGATGCCACTGCTGGCAGACACTTGGGAAATACGGGATATTTTTCCTAGGTCCCCAAATGTCTGCCTGTCTGTCACTCTACTGTCATAACTTTCAGTATATACCCCTAAGTCCCAAAGACAATTTGGTCCTAGGAATCTCTTTATGATGGGAACCAGGAGAAGGGCAGGGTGATTATTCCTAACATGGAGTTTTCCATGGACTGTTCAGCCAAGGACCATGAGCCTCACAATCAGCTGGCCCACTTATGACGAATGCAGCTTCCTGGGCCTGATCCTAGCCCCTGCTGCATCAGAATCTCGGGGTGCAGGGGAGGGGAAGCTACATTTTTAGCAAGCTTCCCGAGCGATTCTTATGCAAACTAAAATAGGGTCACAGTGTCCAGAACCAGGCAGTTCTTTGAAGACCACTGGTGTTGGGGGATATAATATAAACCTGTCTCCCTTCATTGTTACTCTCTCCAGACCCCAATTTAGGCATGGCATTTTCTTCCTGGTTCGGAAGGAGGTAGCCCCAAACAAGATAGGGTATGTTTCCAGAATGCCAGACTGGGATCCTGCTGTGTGAATGATCTAATTGGACTCACGGTTATGCTGGTTTGAAATGGACATTCCTGCTAATGATGATCCAGACAAAAGCAGACACCTTTGGGGATGTCTGCAAGCTCACAAGCACCACCACCCTTCCCTGCCGCCCACAGAAGTGCTTTATTGGTAGCTGAATTTACATACACGGCCCTGCGCTCTGGCTATATAGGGTTAGACCAAGCTCAGTAAATGAAATCTCTTCTTTGAAAATATAGGATTGGTGCTAAGAATGACAGACACTTGCAATGTGGGGCAAAATAACAGATGAACTTGGTAGCCATTGGCTGTCATTTTCCACCAACCTTGTAGTCTGGCTGCTGAGGAAGAACAAAGCAGTCATGCCCAGATAGAAGCAATGGCAAGAGATGGGGAAAGAGTGCTCGTGGCCTCTCAACAGCCTCCTGCTTCCTGGTTTAGGCCCATGTGAGGCCTAACGGGAATTCTACCCGTGGACCTGGTGAACTATCTTTGAGGAAAGCAGTATCTGCTTAAAACAAATCCCCTGTTCTTATTTTCAGGTGAAAACTGGTTTCTATGTCTTGACTCTGAGTTTGGAAATAATCTTCACCATTACGCAAACAGCTAAGTGTTAATTAAGGAAGGATCTGCAGCAAACGATCAGGTTAAACTACTGATCACAGGTCCTGGGCTCAGGTGCTCTCTGAACTCATTTCCAGCCACAGAGTGTCAGGTCTGGAGCGGGCATGAGAAAGCATCGAGTTCAACCTTCTAGTTTTGGAGAGGGACACCGAATAAAGTAACCTGTCCAGGAGATTAGCGACCTGTGGCGTGGACAAGCAGCAGACCTTTTCTCCCCACGTTTTACTGTAAAAACTTCCAAACATACAGAAAAGTTGAAAGAATTTTAATATCAAATCCATCTAGATTCTACAATTTGCATCTCACGGTACATTTTTATCACATCTATTCCTCTCTTTATCCACGTTTTACTTTTTTGATACATTTCAAAGTTGCAGAAATCAGTAACATTTCCCCCAAACTCTTCAATATGCATGTCATTAACTAGCGTGAAATGTTTGTTTATAGCTTCTCTTTTCTTCTTGTGAAGCAAAAGTTGTATGCAATGCAATGCACAAACCTCTTAGGCACACCATTCAAAGAGTCCCCAAAATGCACACACCTGTGTAACCCAAAACTCTCTCAAGATAGAAAACATTACTCTCACCTGGGAAAATTTACCCAACCCCATTCCTGATCAAGGCCTACCCCCTAGCCCTAGAGGCAACCACCACACCTCTTCTACCATAGATTGGTTTTGCCTGTTCTAGAACTTCATAAAATGGAACTATACAGTTCATGTTTGTGTAAGGCCTCTTTCACTCAGCGTAAAATACTTTTGAGATTTCACCTTGTTGTTTTATGTATTAGTAGCTGGTTCCTTTTTATTGCTGAGTGGTAAGTATTCTATTGTTTGCACAAATACAATCACCGTTTGTCTAGTCATTTTTCTGTTAATGAACACCAGAATCATTTCCCATTTGGGGCTACAGTGAGTAAAGCTGATTTGAATATTGTTGTTCTAGCTTTTATTGTGGACATCTATTTTAATTTCTACTAGGTAAATAACTAGGCATGGAATTTGCTGAGTTCTAGGGTGACTTACTGGGATACATTTAGTTTTATAAGAAACAGCAAGACCTTTCTCCAAAGTGGTCATACTAGTTTATGTCTCAACAATTGAAACAAGAGTTCTAGTGGTTTCACATTTTGGCAACATCTAATATTTTTTGTCTTTTTGATTTTAGTCATATTGGTATTTATGGAGTGCTACTTTACTGTGATTTACATTTTTTCCATTTCCAAGACAACTAATGATATTAGGCAGCTTTTCATGTACTTTCACGTAAGATTTTCATGTACTAATTGGCCATGTATCTATCTTTCTGAAGTATTTGTTCCAACTTTTCCCTTTTTCTTTTTGCTTTTATTAAGTTTTAGGAGTTCTTCATATTTCCTAGATCCCAGTCCTTTGTCAGATATATTTTCCAAATATATCCTCTCAGTCTGGCTTACCCATTTATTTTCTTAATGGCATCTTTTAACGTATAAAAGTTTTCAACTTAGAGTTGAATTTATCATTTAATAATTTTATGGTCATTGATAAGGTCATTGCCAATCTGGGTCATGATAAAGAAACCTTCATCTACTTTCAAGTTGCAAAGATATTCTCCTACTCTGTTTTTCGAAAAGCTTTATAATTTTGGCTTTTATGTTTATGTGTATGACGCATAACAAATTAATTTTTGTGTAGTGTCAAGTAGGGTTCAAAGTTCAATGTTTTTCGGTTGTTTAGCACCATTTGTTGAAAAGACTTTCCGTTCCTGGTCTGATTATTTTGGCGCCTTTGTTGAAAATCAGATAACTATAAACCGCATTGATCCATTTGTTGATACTAATGCTACACAGAGTTAGATTCCAGTCCTCTAGAGCCAGTCTACAAATCACACAGAAAAACTGGTTGCTCCGTTTATAGTCACATGCAGCTAGCTAGTCTCCCCGTAAAGTGTAAATTCCTGCAGAAGAAAACCCATCTGTTCCATTTCAGTACATTCCTCACAATGCTATGCTCATACTAGACGTCCAAACAATTACTGAATAAAACAAAGGTCAGAGTCAAGTTACAAATGGTATTGTAGAAACTGCTGAAGCATAAGTAAGGCAAAGAAACATTTTAATATAATTGAGAAAATGTAGGGATAAACAGACTATTGTTTTATTTCCTTTCCAGATAGTCTATTTATGTTTAGATCTCTTTCAGTACTAATGTTACCAGTGGTGTGCACCCACACACACACACACGCACATTGAACACAGAAGGAAAAGAAAACTGAATGTGCATTATTAGAGTCCATTGCTAAATAGTTTTTTATTTATAATTCATATAGTCAATCTCCGCACTTCCTAAAATGATGAGGATGGGTTTAGGTAGGAGGCTTTTATTTGCTAACATTCATTTTAATTATTATATATACTCTACTGTTTGTAGCTATCTCTGTGTTTATCTTGTGATGAAGTATTTTTAATCCCGACTACGTAGTGCATTCTAGGTGGTGAAACTCTTGAAAATTCAAACAATAGACTGAAAGTCATCCCTCTGTATCATAGGGAAGCCGAATGCCCCATTGTCCTGACACTATTTCTTAAACTGAGTGACTACACAAATATATAATATTCTCACACACACGTACGCAAAAAGCTGAGTAGCTGACAACTCAATCTACTGATTGACTGTATGATTTGGCCATTTTGAGCTTTGATCTGTCCAGATATAAAATTAAGGAAAACTAGGACATTAGTTAATCAAATAGATATGTAGTCGGATCTGCTGCTTGAACATATTAAATGATATTTTGTATGCTCACAACTGTAGTCTACATTTTTGTTTTCATTAGCCTTCTTGATCTGAGAATGTTTGATGCTGATGCTTGTCTTCTATTCTCCATTACACAGTACTTATTTTGCTTTTACAGCTTTTTGTTGTTTTGCATACCATAGGTAAAATCAGCCAATATTCAAGGAATGCTGCTTCTTTTGCCCAAGTCTTAGCACCAACATCAGTTTTGCTAGTTGCATTGACACTTTTTTTAAAAACCATCTTTAATTTACTGCAGAACCAAGCATAATGTATTCTAGGTAGTTTATAAGCCATGATTTCTTTCAAAAGAATACAATAGACAAGGTTTCCGCTAAATGTAGTCTTTGTACTTTCTTTGTTTCCTCCAGGTCATTAACCTTTTCACCTATAATCATCTTAGCGATAGGACTTAGGCAACTATTATGTAATTGATCATTAGCAAAAGAGCCCAGGTGGCAAAAAAGAAATACTTTTCTTTTGAAACATATGATAAACATTTAACCTATAGATTGATGTTTCATTTCTTAACTGATTATTAAAAGAACTTTAATTCTACCTTAAACATTAAAAAATTACACAGAGATTACATTTATTTCAGAATCAGTCTTCAAGTGGCGAAAAGTTGTTGGTGATTTTCACATTCTATAATACTCAACTAAAATGTTGCCTATATTTTATATTTGTTATATTTTATATAGCCAAGAGAATGCCTTTATTTTTTGGAGGAAGGTGGCTGAAGTATTTAGGGGTGAAGTATATGGCATCTGTAATTTACTTTAAAAACTATTATCTACCACCTATCTATTTAATCTGTAAGCAAATATAGCAAACTGTAAGCTGTTGATTTTATGTCATAGGTATATATGGGTATTCATTCTACTATTCTACTTTTCTGTATGTTTACAATTTCCATATTAAACAGTCCCCAAATCTATTCATAGTCTTTGATAAGCCAAGTCTTATGACGTAATTGTCATGTTATGCTTTCTGGGCTTTTTTTTTTTTTTTTTTTTTTCTCTCACATGCAAGATCAAGGAAGCTACACTATGTTCTTTTAGGCCCTTTTCTAGGTATAAGGTCTGAATTCTTACAATTTGAAGACTTTCTACTTGCTAGGAGGGTGAAGTTTAGAAAGAATGTAAAGATAGTTAAACCCACCATTTTTCGTCTAAATGATTAAATTGAGGTCAATCAAAACATGCCTAGACCAGAAAGTGTTAAGCTGCTTTAAGAACAACATATATATTAATTTATTATTGTTCATTTCCATTCATACATGTAGAATATAGAACACAGAACATAGTAGCTGCTGATGTTAGGGAACTGTTTACTTTAGAAGAACAACCTTTCCTTGGTTTAGAGGTAAACGGCGAAAGGAAAGGCATCTTAAAAAGCAAAGAGAAATATACTGGAGAACTGAAGAAGGTATGGCCAGAATGAATTTCCTTTGCTTTTTAAGGGAAATGAAGTAGCATGTACTCACTTCTCCTCAATCATTTGCTTTTGATACTCCTCATACTCCTCTCTAGTCATCCCTTGAGCTGCTGCAGGATCAGATGCACCTCCTTCTTCTTTATTTTCTTCAGACCCACCACCAAATCCTAAATTCTTTACCTGGTTACTTATCATACTTTTCATAAGGAAAGCCATTTTCTCTGCTCCAGAAAAATAAAACCAAAATTAGACAAAAGCTGAAGAAACAAAATCCAAACAAACCCAAGAGAAAACCTCCAAATATTCTCAATGACAGCAATACATTTAAGAGCAAAGGACTTTGCACAGCCTCATCTATTCAAGGGCATACTGATAGAGAAGAGTGGTTTGTCGGCCGTAAGCTGGATTAAAGTGGTGAACTCCTTAGTATATAGAGGCAGATGGTTCAGATTACTAAAGCATACAATCAGAGGCAACTGCCTACCTTCTGAATTAATACACTCTGCTAATTTCACAGGAAAAAGAAACCCCCACATCATTTACCCCTCTCCCTACCCGTTTCTAAATTTTTAATTATAAGCACAGCAGGGCTTCATCAAGAGTCCTGTTTCAATTAAATTAATCAGAGCTGACTGATTATATAGCTGTTGTGGAATTTCCAAATTCCAGCCCTTGAGCACAACATCCTGTTGAAAAACTGAGTCCAATGAGACTCAAAACCCAGAATGCTTCATTAAGCAAAAATAATCCTGTTGATCCATCATTTTATCTCATTGGACTTTAAGTACTATGCAAGGATTTGCTTTTTAGTTTGCTTGAATTCGGTTTGCTTCAACAGTTACTGTGTCCCACACATAAATACACAACTGACAAATGCAAAGACCCAGACAGCAGGTCCTTGGTTTACATCTGGAAGATTATCTTAGCCTTCTCCTGCACGGAAATGTCACTTGTCTACATGGAAATGATGTGCTTGACACTTCAAGGCTGTGATCCAGAAGGTAAGACCATTATGTGAGTCAAATCATCAATATGTAAGGGGTCACCTTTTTTCTCTTGTGTAAATAGTGCACCTCCTGGATGCTCTATTTAAGCTCACTAGTGTACTTGGATGAAACTGACAATGTTTTGTATCCCACCAGATTCTCGATGGCTGTGGTTTTCTTCAGGTCAAGGGAAGAATTGAGTATGGCTAAGACTTTAATCTACACTAGTGTCTTTCTAATTAAAGCACGCCAAAGGGGGTGGGGTGGGAAGGAAGAGATGTAATCCATTGTCATTTTATCTGAAGGCATGAGTCCTCTCAGAAAACAGGTGATTATCTCTCTGATCATATGGAATTATATAATCTGGACTCTTGCCTAAAATGCCTGCTTTACATATTTTACCGTCTGCTTTCCCTTTTAGTAATCTATTTAAAAATGCTGCTAAAATGGTCTCGATATGAAAGGCTAAAAAAGATAATTTAGAGTGAAGTATAAGCTGTGCTCAGGGCTTCGAGAATGTACAACAATACTGAGCTCCACTTTCAGTTTTAGATGGGTTGCTTGGAACTTAACATGTTCACACCATTATCTCTAAATTACCATTTATAATAAACTACATTGCATGTTCATTGAGGAATGTTACTAATTAATGTTGTCTCGTAGAACTTTTCAAACCATAAAATAAAAACCACAGCCTTATGTTTCTGTCTGTTCTGTCTACATTTTATTATAAGTAATTATTTAGATTTATTATAAAATCTATTCTAAAAATTCCATTTTATGAGGAATTAGGAAATATTAATGGTGAGGTGTCAGTTCTAAACTCTGGCACCCATGTGTAAAGGAGTTTCTCTCTGTCCAGTCCTTTTCTGAATGTTTGTTTGAGTGTGTGGTGGGGGGTCGGAGGAGGGGGTTTCACACATTATGGGGACTCTTAGGTGGTAGCTTCTGCAGGGTGGCCATGGAAGGCCTCCTGATAGTGCTTTATGAAATCAAATATCTTATTATTTCCTCAACAGGTAATTCCATTGAGAATAGGTCATGACTTAAAAAACTTTTTACTCCTCGATTTATTACAATGGCCTTTGCCCTTGGACATCCAGGAACTACTAGCTGGTGTGTGTAGGATCCTTTCTTTTTTTTTTTTTTTTGGAGACAGCCTTGCTCTGTTGCCCAGGCTGTAGTGCAGTGGCAGGATCTCAGCTCTCTGCAACCTCCGCCTCCCGGATTCAAGCGGTTCTCCTGCCTCAGCCTCCTGAGTAGCTAGGATTACAGGCATGTGCCACCATGCCCGGCAAAGTTTTTGTATTTTTGGTAAAGACAGGGTTTTGCCATTTTGGCCAGGCTGGTGTTGAACTCCTGACCTCAAGCTATCTGCCTGCCTCAGTTTCTCAAAGTGCTGGGATTATAAGTGTGAGCCACTGAGGCTGGCTGTAGAATCTTGTAGAAATGGTGGTAGAATCTTCCATTCCTTCAGAAAGGGGAAATAAATGCCCTGGATTCATGAATGGGACTTCTAGGTGTCACCATCCCATGGCTCACTACTGTCCTTGCATAGAATCCCCACTCCTCACTGCAAGATTGACCACTGCCTAGCTGCCAGCCACACTCCCTTTGCTTATTCTACTCTAATCACATTCATATCCTCATTGTCCTTTAAACCAAGATTGCTCCCACCTATGTCCTCGTGGAACCTCCTGGCCTGTATTGCTCTTACACATCTTTAGGTGACTCACCCTTGCTTAATTCAGGTTTCTGTTCACATTCACCTTCTTAGAGGGACTTCCTTGACCATCCTAAGATACCCTGCCTCCACTACCCCACCTTTTAATACTCTATCCTACTCTATTTTTCTTCATAGCACTGCACTCTACCTGAAAGTATATTTTCATTGATTTAGTTGTTTCCTTTCCACCTACTCCATTGGAATGTACGCTCCATAAGACAGACCAGTGCAGTTTTGTTAACCTTTGCATCCCCATCTCTGAGAATCATGCTTGGCACATAGTAAGTGATCAATAAGAATCTTGGGGGAAAACAATGAATGAATGATTGCCACTAGGTCTAATGACTTATTTTTGAGCAATTCGCTTTCAATGGAAGTAATCAAAATACTACATGGGATGATGGAGGTACTTGGAGAGTTATCTTCAGGCAAAAGTGAGACAGGAGAATAGGGTCTGGGGGCAGGGAACCTAAGGCCAATTCATGCTGACTTCCTGTAACTAAATTAAAAGGAAAACCCCAACTTTCCACACCTAAGTAACAAAAGGACTGGAAGCTACTTCCTTACACCCTTTGCAACTCCCCGCCCTCCACCCCCACCAACTTTTTCTGCATGGCAGATAGAACTTTCGAAGTATTTGCATAGGAGTGTAACTTTGTAACTTCACTTCAGCCTCTAATTGGTTGCTTTCCATGACCAATCAGATGCTTGCATAGGGTGTAACCTTTGTAACTCCACTTCAGTCTCCCATTGTTTGCTTTCCGCAACCAATCAGACTGATTGCAGGCCACTACTTCATTTACATAGGGTGTCCACCAAGTAATCAATGGGAAACCTTTAAAGGGTATTTAAACCCCAGAAAATTCTGTAAAGGGGCTCTTGGGCCTCCATGCTGGGGCCACTCCCATTCTGTGGAGTCTACTTTTGTTTTCCATAAATCTCTGCTTTTGTTGCTTTATTCTTTCCTTGCTTTGTGCATTTTGTCTAATTCTTTGTTCAAAATGCCAGGAACCTGGACACCCTCCACCAATAATAGAAGTAACATCTTAGTGCTTAGAAATCCACGCCATAGTGGTTGCTGCCTTCTTTGCCAGCTCCCAGGATCAAGACTACTCGCCATAGTTTTTAAAATCATGCCTCATTCTGATTTAATGGATCACCTTTGTAAACACTGATTCGTTGTGGCCTAGTCAACTTGAAAAATTTGATGGTATATGACCCAAAGAATTTACTAGAGAAGCAATAATCCCATTAGTGGAATTATATTTTAGAAATATATCACATTCAAACAGCATAAATCCATTTCAGTCCTTCACCTGGGATTTCTCTTTTCACATCAAATGCCTAATTTTGCTTCTGTAATTAAAGTTGGCTAGTTTATCTTCCTTTTTGACCTTCCCCAAGGAAATCATGGTGATTAGGTTGTCCTGTCTCAGTCGTTATATCCTCTTAGCAGGTGACACAACATTTCAGGGGTAGCCATGCAGCTAAACCTCTGTGCTCATGAAGGTCAGCAGAACTGGAAGAAAAAAAAGGTCACCAAGTGCCAAGGCATGTGTCACCACACTTGGCTAATTGGCTAAGTGTAGAAATGACCTAAAGATGAGATTCACTGGGATTGATTTGCAACCTCTATTCTAACTGGGAAAAAAGAGGTAATATAAAAAGAGGAAAAAGTCTTGGGGAAATAGAAGGACCATTATGGAAACCACAAAGGAAGTAAACACATAGTCCTAATCCTAGTAACTGCCTACTGGAGACATTTTAGTGGTTTGTTTTACGTAATAGAGTGTCATGTACATCATAGACACTTAATACATATTTAATGAACTGTATTGAAATGCCAGGCCAAGTAGCATGTTTCTTTTCATTTCTATAGGATTGGTTAATATTCTTGTAGATACAAACTCAAGGCTATATACCAGCTGTGCAAAGAAATTCCCCAGTCATGATAGTATGGTTTTCATTGAGCTACAGGACTGAAGAGTCTCTTCAGTACTACCTTGGACCGTGGTTATCTGATAGATTGTGAGACCCATTTGTGACTCTGTGCAGACTCAAAACATCTCAGTCCCTTGTCTCTCAAAGTGGCCATTTTAAGAAATGTATCCCAGGCTGATTCTTCTGTCTTCCAGAAATATTCAGCAATGTTATACTGAATGTTTCAAAATCTTTTGTGTGTGTGTGTGTGTGTGTGTGACAGGGTCTTACTCTGTCACCCAAGCTGGAGTGCGTAATCATGGCTCACTATAGCCTCGATCTCCTGGGCTCAAGCGATCCTCCTGCCTCAGCCTCCTGAATGGCTGAGACTACAGGCATGTGCCATCACACCTGGCTAATTTTTTATTTTTTGTAGAGAGAAGGTCTCGCTATGTTGCCCAGGCTGGTCTCAAACTCATGGGCTCAAGAGATCCTCCCACCTTGGCCTCCCAAAGTGCTGGGGTTACAGGTGTGAGCCACCATGCCTGACCCCTAAAATATTTCTTTTGCCATCACTATATGACTGGTCTATTTCAGTTCACAGACATCACTTTTTGGTGAGGTAATAACTGTATTCTATTCTGTATCCTCTCTACCACAGAACTTCCATGCTGGTAGAGTGCTGAGTTGGTAGGCAATTCAGTGGTTGTTATTTTCTAACAGGCCATGCTGGCTTCCATGATCTGATTGAAAATTGCCATGCTGGTTCTACATGGAAGGGGAAGATGGGCTGGGAACCAAAGATTAATTTACTTACTTACTGTTTACACAGTGGGCTGACCAATTTGAGCTGAGCTATGTTCATGCTTGGAATTCAGGTATATTTGGCAAATTGTAACATTCATGGTATAGCTAGCAATAAGTCTATTTGCATTAAGTACTATGGAGGCTCTTGGGAGAGACTCATTCAGAGCAGACACAGTAAGTTTGCCTCAGTTACGAAGTCTTAGTTCCCAGAGGCTTGAGAAATTCTGTAGTGTCTTTCACTCAGGTTCACCCTGGCCAAGGCTCATGACCCCATTAGGACTGTTTCCTAGAGAAGGACCTTTAATTAATAGTAACAGCCATTCTCACCGAGAACTCTTGACCCTGGGGCCCATGCATCACTGCTTTAGTATTTTCTTAAGAGAAAGTAACATGCAGGCGGGAGAGAGTCATTCTTCTTCATTTGGCCACAAACTACCCATGATGGTTAATTTTACATGCCAACTTGACTGGGTCACTAGATGCCAGGATTATCTGGTTAAACATTGTTTCTGGTGTGTCTGTGAGGCTGTTCATGGAAGAGATTTACATTTGGTTTGGCTGAGGAAAGCAGATAATCCTCCCCAGTGTGGATGGGCATCGTCCAATCTGTGAGGGCCTGAAGAGAAAAGCCAGAGGAAGGTTGGATTTGCTGTCTTCTTGAGCTGGGAACACTGATCTTCCTCTGCCTGGGCCACTCACGGTCCTCAGGCCTTCAGGCTCAGATGGACTCCACATCATTGGCTCTGGCTTTCAGGCCTTCCGGCTATACTACTGGCTTTTCTGGGTCTCCAGTTTGCAGATGGCAGATCGTGGGACTTCTCGGCCTCCATAATCATGTAAGCCATACCTGATTTTATATGTATGTATGTGTGTATATATGTGTATATGTACGTGTGTATTTAAGGGTTGTTTCTCTGAAGAACCTAATACACCACCCCACGGACTGGCTCCTGGAAGCCTCCATTGCTTCTGTGGACAATGGCAGTCATGAGGGTGCCTGGTCCAGATGGCAGAAGTGGCTGCTTGTCTGGCAGGAGAATGAAATCCTCCCCTGAGTAGCAGCGGGGCCTGTATGATGGAACATGACAGAAATGGTGCCACTGCTGGCCTGACATGGCAGAAATGGCAGATCCAGAAGAAAGAACAGTTAAGAGCCAACACAGGGGATGATGCCATCAGGAGCAGCAGCACCCAGTGGACATCACGGGGGTTCAGAGAAGGGAAACAGTAAATGCCATGTGGTAGCTGACTGGGCAGCTTCTGGACTTATTTGTGAGGATCTGAGAAACGGAATGGGACTCCCAACACTGCTGAGGACTGTTTCCCTTTTTTTACAACTCATGAGCAGGTAGAGAACGAGCCAAAAATCCTGTGTTGTACTGTTCTGGGTCAGTTCTCTCTTCTTATTTTCAGATGCATAGAATAAGAATAGCTAACATTTACTGGGCACAAGCATCTTGTTCCTAAGCTCTATTTATGGTGCTCTGTTATCTCAATTATCACCCCATTTTAGAGATAAAAAATTGAGGTATGGTTCTGCCCTGAATCCAAACCTATATTGCCTTCTGGCCATTTTTACTTGGCTAGTTATGTCAAAATCTATGTTCCAAATGGAACTTAACCTCTTCTTCCCTCATCTTCAATTCCCATCCTTTTTCTTGTGTTCCATTTTAGGACACCTTCCATCCAATTCCACAAACCAGAAACAGAGTATCATCTTACATTCTTCTT